GCCACGCTGCTCCCTCTGCGGCGGGCACACCCATCGGCGGGATGGCCACCCCCGTGGACGCGGGCGGCACGGACATGCAGGCCATGCTGCAGAGCTGCATTCGTCAAGCCACTGATGCTATCGCCGCCACCTCTATGGCACAAGTTACGTCATGCCAGACTCAGCTGGTGCGCATGTTTCAGACCCAGCAGGAGGCCGTCAACAGATCCCTCGCAGTGCAGACGCGCGACATCGCCTCCATCGGACAGCGGGCCGACGCACTGGAGGCCGAGCAGGCTGCCATGCGCAAACAGATCGGTGACATCAACAAGGTTTTGGCCCTCGCGGAGAAAGAGCTGCCCCTCATGGGCTTCCAAGAGCTGGAGGCTTGGGCCCGTCAGCCCAACCCGAGGATCTTCTCGATCGGGGCACCGCAGTTGGTCGGTCCCGCTCAAGCGCTGCAAGGCCTCGAGGAGTGGATTCGCGCTGCCGGCCTCACCAATGACATGGTCCGCCTCGACCCCGCTGTCCCCTCCAAGCGCTTCAACGTCCTCGTGCAGGGTGGCGATGGTGTCGCACTACCCCGCGCCCAAGCTCTCGCACGGCAGCTACGAGACCCCGCTGGCAGGAACGGGTGGCGAGCTTTCTGCGCGCAGAGCGTCGGAGGTGGCACCGTCCCGCTGTACATCTCGCCCGACAAGTCGCCCCAGCAAGTGCGAATGGAGATCCAGTCGAGGAGGCTCTCGTCCCTGCTGGCAGAAGCTTATCCTGGTCTCTCTTTCAGTGCTCAGCGAGCACGGGGCATCATCACCTCCCAGGGCGTCAAGGTTGCCAAGCTCGAGATGGGCGAATCCCGCCACACCGACACGATCATCAGGTGGAACCCAGACATGGTGGCCAGGCTGCACATCGACAGGGAGACCATCAACATGCAGTTCAAGAAGGCCTTCTCTGTGGAGGACAATACCGAGTGGATTTAGCGCGCCGCTGTGGGCGCCCTGGCGCCCTCCTGGAGCACGACATGGCTTTCGTGGCCTTCACATGGCTGTGTGGAACGCTCGTGGCTTACTCCACTCGGATGCGAGGCTGCGCAGACGCAAGCAGGCGCTGCTCGCATCGTACATGAAGGTCAATGCCATCATCGCGGTGCAAGAGGTCCACGGCTCCGAGGACGCGCTCAGGATCTTCCTCCAGGCGCAGCCGCAGAAGTACATGAGCTTCCTCTCCCCTGGCCCCTCCGCCGCCGTGGGTGGTGTCGCCTTTCTCGCCCCTCGCATCATCGATGAATGTCCAAGGGCGGAAGGACCCAGAGCCGAATCTCTGGGATGCAGGGGTGCCGCGCCGCGGGAAGGTTCCCATGCGAGCGCCGCGCCCCCTGCAGCATCCTTACCGACTCAAGATACCTGGTCAAGTTCACGTACCTCCGCGTCTTCATCGGCTGCAAGTCGCTCCAACACTCGGTCAAGTTCACGAAGTCCTCCCCCGACACCCATGTCGAAGCCGTTCTACACCCGGTCAAGCTCACGAAACGCCACTCCAGCCCTACCGTCCTACCGCTTCGTCTCAGTGGTCGCAGGCCGCGCGGCGCTCCTCACGATCACTGACAGCACGGGCAAGTACAGCATGCAGATCTTCAACATTCACAACTACGACCTCAAGCCGCACGAGTTCTCCGCCATTCAGCGTACCTGGTCCAGCGGTTTGGCATGGGCGCGCCGCGACTCTCTACATCGCATCTTTCTGGCCGTCGGGGACTTCAACATTGCCTCCCGCCCGCCAGTCAGCCAACGGGCGCCCTCTGACGCCACGGCGTGGCGCTTACGACCTGACAATCGATGCCAACTACGTCAACCTGCGTGGCGTCGCCTCTTCGCTGCTGCTTTGGAGATTGAATCACAATGGCCGACTCACTACGACAAGTCCTGCAAGCAGTTGTCCACGATCGACCGCATCTTCTTGGGGATTGACGCGCACGCCATGCTGTCGGTCTCAACGATCCTGACCACCGCGAGGGATGCGATGGAGCTCTCCGAGGCTGGCGTCAGCGACCACGCGCCCCTCGTCCTGCAGATCACAGCTGCTCGACACGTCCCGCGAGACGAGCAGCCAATCCCGACACACCTCTTCAACCGCAAGAAGTACCCCGAGGCCTACTCGCTCATGCTGGCGCACTGTTCCTTAGAGGGGGAAACGGCGGAAGGTCGCTGGAGAGCAGCGAAGCAGTGCATGAAGCTGGCTGCTCGACGTGTGCGGGATGAACAGCTGAGGACCAACTTCTCCCTCCTCGTCAAGGACTCCACGGCCGAGACCTCGTACATGGGCTTCAAATCGGCGGCGAGAGCCGTATGGCGACAGGACGCTGTCCTTGCAGGCAGGCTCCTCGACTCCTGCCCCGCGCTGGCGGCCCACCTCAAAGTTACCGACGGCACCGTGCACATTGTGGATACCAACAGTTTTGCCACTAACTCCGACGCCATCGCCGAGCGGGTGCACTCTATGAGAAGACAAGTGGCGGAGGCCGCAGCTCGGACAGCCAACGTGCGCGACAGCGCAGCCTGGCGGAGAGTTGAACGCAAGGCCGCCAGACACGCGCAGCTTTGGGTTCCCTGGCGGCGACGCATGATCCTCTCTGGCTTGCGCGTGGACTCTACACCGTGTGCCGCCAAGGACTCGCAGGTGGCTCAGCACGTGGTCTCCGACCCCGCGGGCATGAAGACGATTGTGGCAAACTATTGGGGTGAGATCTTCGCGAAGGTGCCGAACTCTGAGCAGCTCAAGACCATGGACTCATTCTTGGACAAGCATGCACCGAGGAACCCTGTGGTGGAACTTCCTCAACCTGCCCTTCACAACCTCGAACGAGCGGTCAGCAGGGCACCACCAAGCGCGGCGGGACCTGACCAGCTTACGTACGCCGCATGGCGCCGCAGCCCTGGAGCGTTGCAGCATCTCCACGGGCTCATGGAGGCCATCTTCAATGACGGAATCGCCCCGCTCGACCTCAACTGGTCGATCTTCATCTGCGTCCCCAAGGGCACGGAGGAGGACGACGTCCCTGACTCATGCACTCGCACGGCATCCACTGTGCGCACCCTTTCCCTCAAGAACTGCGACGCCAAGCTGATTGCGGCATGCGCGGATCGAGGACTGCAGCCGATCGCCACATCATCTACCTCACCCGAGCAGAAGGGCTTCACTGCTGGGCGGCGTTTCGTCGACCACATCCCATTCTTGGACGCGGAGTGCCGCAGGGAGGGCCTCCTTCCTGATGCTGCGTCCCGCCGCCCCATGTTCCTGTCGTTCGACTTCCGCCAGGCCTTCCCCTCGCTCTTCAGGGAAGTCATCGAGAAGGTCCTCCCGCGCTACGGGGTCCCGCTGGGCTTTCGCAACGTGATCGTGGCGCTCTACAGCAACTGCCTCGCCTTCAGCTCTTTCCGAGCCGAGGGCACCAGTGCGGAGCTGGAGCCGCTGTTTGCGCTCATGTGCGGCATCATGCAAGGATGCCCGCTCTCTGGCTCGGTCTGGCGCCTGGCCATGGATGCTCCCATCCGCGCCCTGCTGGCAGCGATCGCCGAGCATGGATCCCTCACGGCCTGCGCGGACGACCTCGGGATGCTGATCAAGAACGCAGTCGCCCTCCCGAGCATTGACCGCACCTTCGTCTCCATTGAGTTCGCCTTCAATCTGCAGCTGGCCCTCCACAAGTGCGTGCTGGTCCCGCTGTGGGAGGAGATCACGGACTACACACTGCAGAACGTCAAGTCATTCCTTGCGGAGGAGGTCCCACGCTGGATCGGCTTCCGCATTGACTCATCGGCCAAGTACCTAGGGACCCACCTGGGCCCTGGCGTCACGGACTTTGGCATTTGGAAGGCCGCGGCGGGGAAGTGGTGGTCCCGCTGCTGGGAGCTGGCGCGCACGGGCATGGCCACCAGTCTTGTTGCTCGTGCGTGCAACATCAATGCGCTGCCGTGCCTATCGTACCTGGCTCAGTTCTACTTCATCGTGCCCGCCATCTGGAAGGTCGAGTTCACCTCCCTGCACCGCTTGCTGCGCCTGCCACCGTCGTCCATGCGCAAGTCGGACATCCTCTCGATGAGTGCGTGGTGCGGCTCGCCGGCGCCGATTGGCCTCTTCCCATACACGATTGCCGCGATGATGCGTTCAGCGGAGAACACTGTGAGGGGTTGGGAAGCGCACCTCCGCCACCTACATGAAGCTGCAGTGGAACACGTCCCACTGACCGATGTGATCAAGGGCAATTGGTCCCCCCCGTGGTGGCGTGCGAGAAGGGCGATCGTGCAGAACTACGCCATGATCTCGGACTCCTACGGCATGCTCGACATCCCCAGACCGACACTGGATTCGATCACGATCCCGATCCCGAGCAGGTTCATCTTGAAGGCGAAGGCGGCGATGCTCCTGGAAGCGAAGAACGCGGCTGCTGCCACCCCCGCCAGGAAGCCCAAACGCCAAGCCACGGCTGCTGCAGTGCTCCGTGGCCTGCTGTACCCCGAGGACCTCGTCGCCATCATCCACCGGCGGCTCCGCAGATGGGGGATCGACTGCCCGTTGCCCGTCCTTCGTGAGAGATGGCCTCCGCTGCGCTGCAAGCTGACGGAGGTCCGCCCAGCATGGATGTGGTCGTGGCTGCGGACGGCGGCCAATGGCTGGACGACCTCGCGTCGCATGAGCGCCGTCATCGACGCTCGCCAGTGCATCTTCGGCTGCGACGGCGAGGACGCTCTTGAGCACTACGTCCTCTGCCCGATCCTGAGGGCGATGGCCGCGGGCGAAGGGGGAGCCGACGCCATTGGCAGTGGCCTGGAGCTCCTCGGCTTCGGAGACGAGCAGTACCACTCGAAGCGGTCCATCGTGGACTGCATCTTCACCATCGGCCTCATGTGCCAGTGCTACCACATCCAGAAGAACAGGATGGACGTGGGCCTGGCCGTGGGCGTCGACCAGAGGGCCTCCGTGAGGTTGGCCGCGCTCCATCGCATGCAGGCTTAGGCGTGGTTGAAGCCCAACCGGCCCGCCGAGCTTCGTGCCCTCCTCCTCCTCCTCCTCCTCCTCATCCTCATCCGTCTTTTTTATGGATACGTAACTCCCCCTGCTGCACCCCGAGAATTTTCGGTAGTGCGGGCTGGGCGTGTCGCCTGAAACGTCCTCGCCATGTATCGCCCAGTCGTGTGCATCTTTCGGACGTGGCATCGCTCGGACGTGTGCATTCTTTCTCGTCCAGGGCCATCGAGGAGCATCCTGGATCACTTCGCAGAGCGAGCACGCACAAGACCGAGGAACGCGCGGGGGAACGCAGGTCCGAGCGACGGCAAGGCTCTCCCACTAGTTACCCCTGGTCCTCCTGCTGCTGGTGCTCTTCCTCTCGTCCGGATCGTTTCCCCTACGGGCGCAGAGTTGTGGCTCACCTGATTGTCATCGTTGTCGTGCTCTCCTCCTCCTCCTCCTCCTCCTCATCATCATCATCAGCAGCAGCAGCAGCAGTATCAGTATCAGTATCAGTATGAGTATGCTCATCATCATCATCATCATCATCGTCATCGTCACCATCATCAGCATCATCACCATCACCATCACCATCACCATCATCATCATCATCAGCAGCATCAGCATCAGCATCAGCATCATCATCATCATCATCATCATCATCATCATCATTATCATTATTGTTGTCATCATCATCACCATTACAATCATCAGCATAATCAACATCACCACCATCATCATAAGCAGCATAATTAACCTCATTAGCATCAGCATAATCATCGTCATCATCATCATCGTCGTCATCGCCGTCGTCGTCACCGTCACCGTCGTCTGCATCATCGCCGTTATCATAAGAGTTCCCTGCTTGAATACGGTTGCACACAATGCCCTCCGCGCCCGCGATGATTGTCATCGTTATCATCATCGTCATCATCATCATCATCATCAGCATCAGCATCATCATCATTATCGTCAGCAGCATAATCATCATAATCATTGTCGTCATCGTCAGCTTCGACATCGTCGTCATTGTCATGAATATCAGCACCATCAACGAGCCATCGTCATCATCATCAGTGAATACTTGCGCCTGCACTTGCTGATCTTCCTCCCAGATTCCTCGTCATCGACTCTCTCATCTCTCTCTCTCTCTCTCTGATCCCCTCTCAGGTGGGCGCGAAGACCGGGAACATGCTGATCAAGTGCGAGCAGGCGCAGGAGAAATTCGGCCAGGAGGCCATGATCCCCGCGAAGCTCAACCCCACTGGCGCCGTGCTTGGCAACAAGATCCAGTTCGAGGTGCCCGGAGGAGGAGGGGGAGAGTGAGGCGGAGGGGCGGGTGGAGGGAGAGGAGGAGGGGTAAGGAGGAGGATATTCAGGATAATGAGGAGGAAGGAGGAGGGGGGGAATAGAGAGAGCAGGAGGAGGAGAAGGAGGAGGAGGAGGAGGAGGAGGAGGAGGAGGAGGGGAAGGAGGCGAAGGAGGCGGAGGGAAGGAGGCGGAGGAGGAGGGGCGGAGAGGGGAATTAGCGGACGGGAAGGGAGAGGAGCAGGAGGAACGGAAGGAGGAGAAGGAGGAGGAGAAGGAGGAGGAGGAAGAGGAGCAGGAGGAGGAGGAGCAGGAGGAGGAGGAGGAGTTCGAGGTGTCCGAGGGGAAGAAGCCTGGCGGCAGGCCCATCGCGGTGAATGTGAAGGTGCTTGCCCAGAATACAGAAGCTATCAAGAAGCAGATCAAGTATTATTTCTCCGACGAGAACCTTAAAAAAGACAGGTTTTTCCAGCAGAAGATAGCGGAGACGGAGGGCGGGTACATCAACATGTCCGTCATTATGGGTTGCCCGGCGATCAAGAAGATAGGCTGTACGATGGCCGAGATCATCGACGCGCTAAAGGACGTTGTCCTCTGCCCTACGAAGAAGAAACGATGTCGTAATGGAGCTCTGCGCAGGTTTATTGGATCGGTGCCGGACCCCTCTTCTTATCGGATCGGTGCTGGGCCCCCTCTTTGGCGCTCCGGGCACGTCAGGGGCGGAGATCCGATCCAAGCGAGCCGTGCGGACCTCCGAAGGTGTATGTGTACACCGTTGTTTCGTCCTCTATGTTCCCCCTCCCTCCCTGCCTGCCTCTCCGAAAGTGTATGTTTTCCCTCTCTCCCTCCCCCTCTCCCTCCCTGCCTCTCTCCCTCCCCCTCTCCGAAAGTGTATGTTTTCCCTCTCCCTCCCTGCCTCCCTCTCTCCATCCCACCCATGCGGTTCTCACTGCTTCTCCTCCCCCGCTTCCCGGCACGACACGCAGCCGCAGAGGACGTCGAGGGGCTGGAGGTGCGCGACGCGCCCGAGGGCGAGGAGGGCATACGACGGACAACGCCCCCGCCGCCGCTGGAGGAGGCCCCCGGGATGAGATACAGGCCCGAGCTGACAAAGGATCCCGACAAGGACACGCGGGAGCTCTCAGATCTGGGCAGCGGACAAACAGAATCGTGGCGGCCAGTCTTTCGTCGATCTCGGCCCCCTGGGGCTGTTTCCCTGCCCTGGGTCCCTGGGGCCGTCCAAAGACGACTCGGGATGAGAATCTGGCCCCGGAGGAGCGGTCGCAAGCCCAGCGACCGACGTCACGAAAGTATGCCGCGTTGGATGATTGGGAACGCGCGCGCGCGGGGGAGGGGCCTGGAGGGGCCGCCCAGAGCTTCGAAGAACGGCAAAGGGCATAAGCGTAAATGTTCAGAGGTCCGCGTGGATTTCTTGGATCAGCGCTGGACCCCCCTGGCGCGCTGCACGCGCAAGGCAGGGGAATCGAGCGCCGATCCAAGAGGTCCGCGCGGACATTCGAAAGTATATGGTTCTACTAAAACGACGCGAAGATCGGGACAAAATAGGATCGGGATAACTCGAAATCTCTGAGAATCGGCGGGTTTGGAGGATGGATTGGGCGCCGCGGCCGCTCCAGAGCGTTCCAGAACGCTCTGAGAGCGCTCCGGAACGCTCTGGAGCGAGTTATCCCGATCCTAGCCCTGTTTTATCTACCAGTTTTCATTAAGCAGCTTGTCTGTAAGGGTCCTAGAAATCTCTTAGGCTGGTGGGTGCACCGCGCCATCCGAATACGGCGGGGGCGTTCGTTAAGGAACGTGCCCAGGAGGCCGCAGGCCCTGGAGGACTCCTTGTCTGATGAGGGCGGTGGTGATCTCCATGGCCGATCCATTATTGGGTTTCCACTGGCTTCCAGACCCTGGATTGCTTGTCTAAGGGTTCCTTGTCCAATGCCCCCACCGTACCGTGAGCTTGTGGTCCCTGGTCGTGGCCCAGCGGCCTCTGGTCGTGGTCCCGGTCGTGGCCCAGCGGTCTCTGGTCGTGGCCCCCGGTCGTGGCCCCGGGTATTTGGTCTGCTGTATGGCCTCCCGCATGGTGTAGTATGGCAAGTAGCGTCGGCTAGCGTTGGACAGCGTCGAGTCGCAAGAGCCAGCCAGATGGCAATGCGATGTTGCTGGCTCTTGCGAGTCTGCGGAGCTCGTTTCGTCTTTCGTTTTGTTGCCTCGCTGATTGGCGGCATCGTTTCGCTTTCGTGCTCGTTTCGCCAAACTCGTTCTGAACGTTTCGTTGTCAACGTTCCGAGTCGCGTTCGTTTCCGATCTAAACGCCAACGCGTGTTTGAAACATCGTTGTGGTCGGCCCTTGGATGCAAGGGAGGGCCCCGCGAGCTGCCACCGAAGGGGGGAGGCGCGCATCTGTGCGGGGCCGCTCTGTCCCGTCAGCGCCCCTCCTGGGTCGGATCGCGCCGCGGGGCGGAGCGTGGCAGAGCGGGGCGTGAAAGGGGGCCAGGGCGCGAGGTTAACTGCGCCGCGCGACCTCCTCCTCCTCCTCCTCCTCCTCCTCCTCCTCCTCCTCCTCCCCCTCCTCCCCCTCCTCCCCCTCCTCCTCCTCGGGAGGTCTGGAGAGGAGTTGAGGGGGGGCTCCGGCGTCCCAGGGGTTGCGCCTGGGCGGCGAGGCGAAGGGGGGGGGGGGGCGCGGATCGGAGGAGGGGGGGGTGGGGGGGCGGGCGCCACGAACGAGCGGGCGCGGGCGCCGAGCTTGCCCACCACGGGAGCGCCCCGGGAGCGGGCGGCTCCCCAGGGAGGGGTTCCGCATGGCAGTGCTCGGCCTCCGCTAGGGGCAACTCGGCCGAGGCGCGGCCCGTGGGGCCCTCGAGAAGCAGGCGCAGACGGTTACCTCTGTTGGATTGCGCCCTGTTGGACTCTTGCCAGCAGCCTCCTCGCGGCTCGACACGCCCGTGGGGACATCGCGTTAGATCGTGCCCTGCGCCTGCGAGCTTACGGTCGGGAACTTGGGATAGGATGAAATCTGCCGGATCTGTCCCACCGCTCCTCGGCGCGACACACTTTCCACGTCGCGGTCCCCAGGCGTCAACGTCCCAAGCGTTTCACGGCATCCCGCCCCGCGGAGCGGAGCAACATGCTTTCCACTCGCTGGGCATGGTGCGTCGCTGGGGCCGCGGCGACGACACGCTGAACAGCAAAAGCTTCCGACCGTACCTCTATTGGCTTAGGACGTGTATGTTGCTGTGCTGTTCGTGCCCCCACCCCTGGCCCTCGTGCTTGGCCACACCCCTGGGTCAAGGAAGACGTCTTCTACCTTGGCACAGTCAAGCCCCCTTTCGAGCACTTCGGCTCGAAGAAGTACTTCATCACCTGCTGGGAGGTAGCGCAGCAGTACAACGGCCTGGACCCGTTCTTCTTCCAGGAGCAGAAGCCCGCAACCGTCGAGCCAGGACAGAGAGTGGTGTTCACGGTGTCACCTGACAATAAGCCTGGCTTCTCGCCCCAAGCAGCTTTCGTGGCGGAGCTAAAGGGTTCTTTGCCCGCTGGTATGCAGCCTCCAATGCAAGCCCCGAATGCTTGGGGTGGCGGCGGTGGCGCTTACGGTGGCGGCAACTTCGGAGGTGGTGGTGGCGGCGGAGGCTATGGCGGAGGCTACGGCGGCAAAGGGGGCAAGGGCTACGGCGGCAAGGGAGGCGGCAAGTGG